TAAACCCTAAACCCGAAACCCTCTCAGAGTCCTCGGTCTTCTCCACACTGGCAGAATCGATCCAGGGTCCCAAGTCCTTCAGCTGCAGGTCCCGGTGTTTGAGCTTAGATTTTAGGACTTGGGGGGTTTTGGGTTCAGGGTTTAGGTTTTTAGGACTTGGGGTTTAGGGTTCAGGGTTTAGGATTTTAGGACTTGGGGTTTAGGGTTCAGGGTTTGGAGCTTTGGGACTAGTATTGAAAATCTGGATTTCCTGATGCAGATCCCGAAGTACGCACACGACTGGTACAATGGAAGTGCGCGTCAAACCCTAAACCCTATACCCTAAACCCTAAACCCTAAACCGTGCCTGCACAACCTCGTTGCAGCCGCTTCCCGCCAGAGCCGCTTCCAGGAGCGCGAAGAACGCGAGCCAGTTCATGGCGAGACGGGGTTAAAGGTTGAACTTCTTCTAAATCCCAGGATGGACATTGGGGCTCTCTTTCTCGACTTAGCAGCTATTGTAAATCACTCAAAAGAGTTGAGGGTTGAGGGTTGTTGAGAAGTTTCTTACTGTACGAAACTTGGTTATCTGCTGGGAAATCATCGAAGTCTGCGTCCCCTTCCGGATGCATCCGCCACCTTCGGTTGAGTTGAATTCCCGAAGCCAAGAGCAGGCAGAGACCACGTGTAGGACCCTGAAGGACGGTGTAGGGTTTAGTGTTTGGGGTTTAGGGTTTAGGACCCTTGACCCTGAACCCTAAACCCTAAACCCATCGGGGATCGAAGGCACCCCTGCGTCACGGCCAGGAGGGGATAGGGAAGGGCAAGGTTTCAGGGTGAATCCCTTAAGGGGCTCGGGGTTTGGGGTTTAGGGTTTAGGGTGGGATCAGAGGCCCAGAGCTCGCCGTTTCTTGCAATGCCACGATTAAAATTGGATTAAATGAAAATGTCTGTCGTGGTCATCTCCTTCTGCCGTCAAACCTTCCTGCCGCATTACAGCTGGCAGCAAGCAAGAACCTACATGCTTCGATATGACTCGGGTTTAGGGTTTAGGATTCGGGCATAGAGCTGTACGGCATCGCTTGGCACAAGGCGAACCACAATGTGAAAGACACCTGCCCTTCGGGCGGAGTCCTCTCCAAGTTAATTTGGCACGCTCGCCGCCGATCCCGAAGCAGCGGCATCTGCAAGATCAAGGCTTCCGAGCCTGAAAACTTTTCGTAATCCGCAAGCATTATCATGCTACGCCAGCCTTATTGCTACACAAAACCTGCAAACACAGTAGTACAAGTACTTGGTTGAAGTCCGGGGGCCCGGCGTCGAGGGCGGCATTATGACCCCTGGCTGCCCTTTTGGGAGCCCTGGGAAAGAGAATTCGTCCACCCAAGGTGCCCAGAGCTCTGCGCGAAAGTCATGAAGCCCTGGAATGTCATAGAGCTCAGGGTGGAGAATGCAGAGTTCTGATGTTTTAGAAGGTGCTTCGATGACATTTTGAATCTTAAACCCTTGGATGATCGTCTGAATAATGCAACAGACAATCTGAATGAGCTCAGAATGCTGAACACATCCTCGGCGTCTGTGCTTCTTGGGCGTACACTATACACAGAGAGGATCACAGAGGGGATCTCCACGCGGGACCCCTTGCGCCACCTCCTTCTTGACCCGATCCTATTCCACCCTGAACCGCTAAGCTAACTTGGCCCTAAACCTTCCTTGTTTGATGATCACTTAACCCTAAACTCCTAAACCTTCTTTGTTCGATGCGGGGGCCCGACCCGAGGCAGAAGCGCAGCCCTGGAGGTGGGCACCGGCCCACGATTCGGAGGAATCTCAGCCTCGGACTTCTGCGCTGGTGCTTTGGGGCCATGGGCTTTGAAATGGGGCCCAGCCTTCGGATTCTGTTTTAAAGGGTCATGGGGTCTTTAGAACAAGACCTCCAAGAGCAAGACCTCCTTCTTTGCAGAGCGTAGCCAAATGACATGTAATGCGATAGGCTTCAGAATCTCCAATGAGAAGGTCAAATAGGATCCTGCAATAAGTAGCTACGCTGTTATACGAATACTACGATGCGAGCTGGGCCGTCCCGCACATTCGCACGTTCACTCTTTCAGGCTTATAGGCAAGACCATGGGCATATCGGAAGCCCCGGTGGCCCCCACAAACCCCCAAAGGCGGGGATGATGAGGATGAGGATGATGAGGATGAGGATGAGGATGATGATGAGGATGAGGATGAGGATGATGATCATCATCATCATGATGGTGATGATGAGGGTGATGCTCTAAGAAGCCAAATCAAGCCCTAAAGCCTCCAAATCCTAAAGGCTAAAAAAACCCTAAACCCTAAACTCTCTGAAAACCCCCGGAAGCCGGGCGGCCGAAAGCTCAGCTCTCCAATGCTCGCAGCACCGCGTGCGCGTCAAGGTCGCTTTGCTCCAGGAAGGCGCAGAAGGTCTTGAAGGTGATTCCATCCGCCTGCGATTAGGGTTTAGGGTTTAGGGTTTAGGGTTTTAGGGTCTATGACCACTTATACATCACACTGTCCACGGTCAGCGGTGCTGAACCGGCAGAAACATCTCATCCTTCGCACAGAACTTCGAACCAACCGTGCAGGTTTCAAGGCGTTCGGATACCGATGCGCGGCACTCTGACAATCCCACCTTCGTGTCGACTGCCTCCACGAGGGCATCGATCTGGTTCCTCGTTCCGCGAGCTGGTCAAATAGCATGTTATCTTGTCTCATACTATATTATACGATACTATGCCATGCTATACTATATCATACTACACTATGTACTATATTGTACTATGACTGTTTATGATGGAGCCTTAAATGGAGCATTCAAGCTACGCGTCCGAGCTGCCCTGAGCCCTGCACCCTCAAGCTCCCCAAGGGCCCAGGCTTTAGGAACCCCGAATCCCATCCAGGGAACCCATGAGCCTGCTTTTTGGGGATTGAGGGTTTAGGGTT